CGCTTATTGCTAACTATTTCACTTGCTTTCCCATTCCTGGCCATCAAACTGCAATTTAAAGCAGGAAAATAATTAAATTTTTAAAAATTTATTATATTTAAGTTATATTTATAATGTAGACTAATTTAATATTTGCCTAAATATACAATTTTGTATATAAACATTTATTTTGAATTAATTAGCTTAAAAACCTAGCCGCCTCATCATAAAATGTTATCCATAAACATTGTAGCTGCCTGCTGGTGCCTGTGTGTGTGCCTCTGCTGGTGTGTGTGTGTGCCTCTGCTGGTGTGTGTGTGTGTGTGACATTGCACGCCGCAGGTACACATTTCATAAAACTAATACGAATTGATTTATGGCGCTGCGCCTCGTCGTAACTGAGATTCCGGCTGGAAAGGCTTGCGGCACAAGCCGTGAAGCCAGGCACCGGGGAGGGGAGCGAGAGATGAAGGCGGAGGCAAGTCGCGTCTTAAAAATGTTAAAATGCCACTCGGCATAAGACGCTGTGCGTTGCCCCCAATTCAGCTAGAGGCGGGTGTAGCGGTAGCTGTGTGGCAGCAGTGGGGGCAGGGGCAGCTAGAGGGCTGGGTTGGCTACTCTTTGCTATCAGTGCGAATAACAGTAAATGGCTGGCGTCTTTGTCTAAATCTTTGCCAGGCTGTCAGTGAGTGGAGTGGGCGGGGCCAGGGCTGAGGGTAGCTGAAACTTTGGCGCTGGCACGTTGAAAATGCTTAAGGTGCACACACACAAAGTCAAAGGAACCCCTTCTCGCATTTGGTGTGTGCGCTGCTTAAGCTTATAATTCATAAAGTGTACAAAAATCGAAATTTATTGCTATTTAAGATATTTGTGTTAAGCTGCTTTCGTTTGCAGCAAGCATGTCTGCCGCAAATTAAACTCTGCCGCTGCCACTGCCACTGCCACTCTCTAATTAAAGCGGAGGCGGCGTCTTTAAGGACCTCCGAAACAGGATATGCAAATGGCAAATGGCAAATGTAGAACAGAATATGGACCACAGCCAAGTTTATCGTTTTTTATGCTTTTGTGACGTATCGTCGAGCAGATAGAAGTAAATTGTTTTTGCCACGCCCACACACACACAGCCGCCCCAACACAGGCATAACAATAAAAACCATAATTTGTGGAGGCGACGCATAAAAAAAATTTAGAGCATTCAAAATTCTGATGACGATTGGCATGGCGCAGCGATTAGAGGCTTCATAATGTGGTCTCAAAACTTATCTTTATGGCATCGGCAGGAGACGCAGCGAGTGAGTGTGTCACAGCCTCTGTGTGTGTGGTGTGTGTGTGTGTGTGTGGGAGATGCTTAACAACTTTTGAGCGTGCTAAGCTATCAAGAGCAGCTCTGGACAGGCAGTCAGCGCAGGCAATGCCACAGTTAACTTCCGCTCAAGCAGAGTCACACCTGGACAGAAGTCGCCAGAGGTGGGTGGGGGGCGGCACTTGACAATTTTTGCTTTATCACAACCGCTGTCACAGCTGCGGGCGGTCGACAAGGAGTGGGTGTATGGCGTGCGCTTATCTCTGACCAACGCAGCTGTCATTCAGGAAAAACTTTTTTTCGGCTGCACTTTGACTCGCTGCATGGACAGAGTTTTCAGGACAGCGCCCACAAGGACTTTCGCTAAGTAAGTGACGCAATAAAAAGAGTGGGGAAAAAACCGAAAAATAAATAAAAAGCACTTCTTTTCTTATTAAAAAGCAGCGCGAAATTGCCCATAAAAGACGACGTGAAGTGGGCGGGGTGCAGAGTCAACCAGATTAGATGAGTGAAGAAATTTGAAAATCAATCCATTAACAAAAGCACACGCACAAAAGGACCAAGTCAGGACTTGAGCGCGGCATTAACTTGTGATTCCAACTGTGCGAATTCCCAACGTTCGGCCAAGGACAATGCCGGCTTTGCATGGCCCGAGCCGCTAATTATCCCGGCGACTGGCTAGGGCCACGCCAAGCCCGCACGCAAACTGAGCTTCATTAAAACGGCAAAGACATGGCTCTATCTCCCTCTCTCTCTCTCTCTCTATATATATATATACATCTCCCTCTCTCTCTGTTTGTCATTATCTGTGCAGTTATCCGCGAGCGACGCTGTCCGGGCAACCGAATTTGTCGCTTGACGAGCCTGACAGACCGCACTCAATAGTTTAAAAGGAAGCAGCTTGAGCAGCAGCAGCAGCAGCAGCAGCAGCAGAAGCAGGAGCAGGGGTTTATACTGCCTGGCTACATCCTGTCAGCGCGTCTTATCAGCTCCAGCTGCGGCGTTATGCTGACTTCTGCATTCAACTTCGACATCTTCCATAGCTCGCTCTGACTTGGCCGTAAAAGCATTGCCTCAACTTATTTATTGTATTTGTTAATGTTGGCGTCGCTTTCAAAAAATTATTCTCACTTTTTTCTATACACTAACTAATTGGAAAGGTAACCCAAAAAGTTATGTTAACTTTATGATTAAGTTTGTGAAAAAGGGAAAGATTTTGACTCGAGAGATATACAGAAGAGAGATAGAGGCAGCTAGGCACAGAGTCAACGGAAAGCAAGCAAAGAGATATAGAAAGAGCTCTCCCTCACTTTGAGAGAAAAAGACATATAAAAGAGGTATAAAGATATAAAGAGAGAGAGAGGTAAAAATCATATTTTTCTTCAAATTAAAAATTATTTGCAATATTTAGCCAGACTCTGCTTAGATTCTTGATATTTTCACATTTTATTTTCTAAAGTTCTAAAAGGAAGCAAGATATCATAACTGTATGTTTTATCGAAACAAAACTGAATTAACAATATAGAATCTCCAACATAGGCTAGAATAGCTCACAAATCTGCTTCAGATTCTCATTGAGAAAATTAAGAATATATAAAATATATTTTTGAGAATATATTACATACTTGTATCAAGCAACCACAGGCGACTCAAAAGATTTCATGTCCTAGACCTGCCCCACAGAAATAGATAAATATGTTAAGTAGGTAAATAAATGGATTGATCTCATTGGAGCCCAAGCCATCCGTAATATTATTGTTAACAAATTTGCTTATTGTCTAGTATAAAACAGATTGCAAAACAAACAGCAATTAACAAATAAATAAAAATAACACATAAAATAAAAAATAAAAAAAAATTAAAAATTACTTATTCTGAATAATAGTATTCTTATACATACGTATATAATTTATTTTATACTGTATACAGTTCCGCTCAAAAGTTTGTCAAGCTGTATCTTTTTAACAAAAAATTCGCTCTGAATTAATTAATTAGTTTTGTTATATGAAAAACTCAATAGAAAAGTTATTGTTCTGTAAATTTTATTTTATATACAATATATATAATAATATAATATGCATTCATCTTTCATATATGATTACATTATAGATTACTTTACAAAAAAAAAAAAAAAAAAAAAAATATATATATATATATATATATATATATATATATATATATATATATATATATATATATATATATATATATATATATATTTATATATAATATATCTCAGATTACATTATAAATATTTTTTTTTTTAAGTTTTTATAGGGCATACAAGACTTGCGCCTCACTCATATTCAGCTCTTTCGTTGTCACCTTAGTTTTTTTTTATTTGCTGCTGACATTGCCTCAGCACCTTCTCCTCCTCCCCCTCCTCCGTCCTCCTTTGCCCTTTGCAGCACAAATATGTTGCTGTCAACACGTCAGTTTTGCTTGTTGTCGCTGCTGTTGTTGTTTGTCCGGATTTTTATTTGGCAGTGCATCTTTTATCGCTCTGTCTGAGCGTTGAGCAAGCGTCGTTTCTGTTTTGCGCACGCTTCATTACAATAAATCCGGTTAGAAGAGGTGTCTGGCAACGTTTTGCAGTCCGTGTTTGGTGGCAACAGCCACAGCCACAGCCACATCCGCTGAGTGAGGGTAATTTTAATGCCCTATCAGTCGGTCTGTCGGTCGGTTGGTCGCTGAGAGTAGTTCCTGACACCCACTCCCACACACACACACACACACACACAGAGCGCGAAACATTTGGCGTAATTTGCAGTTGCACTTCATCACATGCCAAGTGAAGTCAACGTTAAACGGCGACATTCGCTTAAGCTTTCTTATTTCTTATTTATTTTGCTTTTTTTCACCAACTTCTTCTTCTGTGTATTGTAAAGATTTATGCTTGAATTATTATATTGCTGTTATGAAAGCTTCGCTTCATCAAAAATTTAAAGACTAAAGGCTAAATGCTGAAAGGCAAAATACAATTTTATTTGATATTAATATATAGGAAGGATTAGCTCCTTGTAGAAGAGAATATGAAACCATATATACAATGAAATGCACCTATGTCGGCATTGCTTCCTGCAAGAATGTAGTCCTGCGAGAGCTAGAAGTATTTTTTCCTTATGCAGGTAGTCCATATAGGAAGGAAGGAATACCTCCATGTATGAAGGAATACCTCCCCTTGCGTATTTGTTATTTAATATAAAAGTTTTCAGCCCAAGAGCTGTTCCTTCAAAATATGTTTATAGTTCAGTAAACAACTTGAAATTCAATAAATATATTTATATATAATAAAAATATAATACAGTCTTATTAAAATGCAATAAATTATTATGAACTTTTAATTCCACAAAACACATTCAATTGATTATATAGTATATGTCAGTTGATTACCATTCTGCCCGACCGACCCATCCATCAACTTGACCCACTTTTAAAATAAACAGTTTCTTTGGTATTTTTTTCTGCTACGATGTTTGAGCAGTTAACAACACAGACAACAAGACGCTGTCGTAGTTGTCTAACACTGTTCACTCTTATCGCTCAGCTTATCTTATCAGTGGGAAACGGTTGCTGGTGTCGTTGCAACAGGTGAGTAAGATTTTTCATTCGCTCAGTATTAAATGAGAATTACTAGAGCTTGCATATAGACAAAAAAGAAAATTATATATATATATAAGCCTCGCATGTGATTCGAAATGTAGACATCCAATCCGCAAAGGACACCAACACATGAAGTGTTTCAAAATAACAAAAGTTTTCTCAATTCATTACGAAAAGTTGCATTTGTCGCTTGTGCGTGAGTTTTGTGTTTGGCTTGCTCCACATTTAGAAAAAAAAGCTAACCCTTACCACCAAGCTCCGATAAGATAAGCCGCGCCGTTGGAGCATTTCGACCTAACATTTCGTAGCAGGTTAATAAAATGTGACGTCATATGCCAAAAAGTCTTTATTAATGTTATTATTATTAATGCGACGCAGTTCCCAATTGCATTTAAGTATTCTGATTCTTAGCTAAATGAAGATACAAAATGATTTGCTTTCCGTGATTTGCTTTAGCGTCTGCCCTGTATTTAAGGCAGAGCGGGTGGATTAGGTTAAAGCTTACGCATGTAACAGATAAGAGGCTTGCCTTGAAAGTCCATATAACATTAGATACAAGCTTTATAAATCGAATATTGGATATGTAATAAGATAGCCTTAGATGAAAGTTCAAGGTCATCAGCTTGTGACTTGGAAAATTTTAAAAAGAAATTCTATTTGCAATTTAGAGTTCAATATTCATTCAGTATTTAAATGGGAACTATTTATACCCTGATCCCATTAAAAATGGGAAATCAGGGTATAATGGTTTTGTGCAAATGTATGTAACAGGCAGAAGGAGGCGTGGCAGACCCCATAAAGTATATATATTCTTGATCAGGACGACAAGCCGAGTCGATTGAGCCCTGTCCGTCTGTCTGTCTGTCCGTCTGTCCGTCTGTCCGTCTGTCCGTCTGTCCGTCTGTCCGTCTGTCCGTATGTGTGAACGCGTGGATCTCAGCATCTATAAGAGCTAGAGACTTGAAATTTTTTTTGTAGGTCCGTGTATAGCACGCGCAGGTCAAGTTTATTTCAAATATTCGATAACTATTCGCATTTAATTGTTATCGAATAAAAACATTATTGAAATGCAGTAAATAAATTATATCTCGAACGTCTTAAGAGCTAGAGCCTCCAAATTTTGTATTTAGTCTTATGTATATTTTATGCAATTTTGATTTTTGTTGGATTTTGGATACCGGCTCCAAATTCCCCCAAATTCTTAGAATTTAAGTTAAGTTGGAACTAGGGCCATTATGTGAAGGCGTTTGCATCTCAACCAAGCCAATAGGATATGTAGATCATATGCTGAAAATTTCATTAAAATCCATTAAGTAAAACAGAAGTTATTAAACAAAACGTTTGGCCAATTTGCAAAAGCACATGTCAGCAGCGCCACGCGCACGCATTTTTCCTATGCGTGTGCACACATACATTCAAATGCGTGAATTCTTTTCTATTCCAAGAATTGAAATTGCGATTGAATTAAAGCTGAATATTAGCTGCTACTTATGTTCAAATTTGCAGCAGATCGAATAAGAAGGACAGCGGCTGCGTTGGTAGAGGCGCCGCTCGCATGCAGCTTGGTCCGGGTTCGAGTCCAGTGGAGATGAAATGTTTTTTATTGTTTTATTTTTAGTTATGAAGTGGCGGTGTTTGTAGTGTTTGTGCACGTTGCGCAAATAATCCGGGTTCGAATCCGGGTCTCGCAAAGTCGATTTTTATTTTTTTTCTTTTTTTTTTTTAATACTCGATACAAACTACGGAAAATATTACAAAACTCAAAGGACTGGGATCAGGGTATCTCCTAGTCGGGCACCCCGACTAGAGCTTTCTTACTTGTTTTTATTTAGCTATTTCAAGAGCCTTTCAACAGACTTCGCTAACGACAACTTTTGCGTCTTGCTGTTCCTGTTCCAGTCTTTGTGTGCAAAGAACTGTCAAGTGAGAAAGTTTAGTTTTTTTTTCTAACAACTTTTAATTTTAAATTAAATCTGTGTATAAATAATAATAATAAATCAAATATAATATAATAATAAAATAAAATAAATACATATAATATAATAAAAAATAAAATATAATAATAAATAAAAATAGTTGCCATTACAGAAATGGCTTAACTTTTTGATTGGCAAGATTCAAGAAATACCTGAGCTCAAAACATACATAGGAAATATATAGCCACTCGCCTGTCCGTTCTCAACGTATTTGAACTCTACGAAATAAATGATTCATGAAAAACTGTAGAGCTAGATATATATATATAGCTCTTTACAGGGTATATGCCCCACCAGTTGTCCATTTTAATAACTCGCACAGTTTGCTGATAAGCGTGAAATAAAATGCATGCGCAATAAACGTTCTATCAATTGGGCTCTACAGCTAGTCAGAGCTGTGGGTCGACAGCTGACAAATAAAAATTTACCTGCTTTCGCACATTTTCAGGTATTTTCAACGACAAGATGCAACTGCTGGTGCTAGCGATCTACTTGGTGGGACTCTTTAGCAGCGCTGCTGCTGTCGACTGTCCCATTGCCTGCAAATGCCGTTGGATAATCGATAGTCTCTATGCGAATTGCTCGCGACGCGGCTTGACCAGCTATCCGAAGTTCTTTAATGTGCCCGTGGAGCATTTGGATCTCTCCTTCAACAACTTTACAGAGTTCCCACGACAATATGCCGACATGGACTCGTTGCTGTATCTGGATTTGTCGGGCAATCGCATAGCTAATCTGGAGGCTGAGGCGCTGATAGGCTTCACCTCCCTACGCACTCTGCTGCTGGCCAGCAATTCAATTGTCGATTGGTCGCACATCAATCCCAACGAGGCCTTCAAGTATGCGCCCAGTTTGAAGAAACTGAGCCTCAGCGGAAACAGTTTGGGCAACTTTGGAGGCGACGTTGCTAGCGAGCAGCTCAATAGCCAATCGCTCAATGAACTGGACCTGTCCGCGGCACAGATTAGCATTGTGGGCGGCGATGTACTGATCAATCAGCTGCCCAATCTGCAACGCCTTTCCCTGGCCAACAACCAATTGGGGCAGCTAACACGCTTGCCGTCGAGAAGTCTACTCGATCTGAACCTGAGCAACTGCAGCGTGCAACGTCTTAGCCCCATGTTCATTGAGGCCTTACACAACTTGGAAGTGCTCAATTTGTCGCACAATACTGCGCTCCAATTTGGCTGGGAAGAGGATCTAATTGTCGGCTTGGAGCTGCGCAACTTGGATGTTTCCTATTGCAATCTGGACCAAATCGACTTGAGTGGCCTGCCCGTGCTCGTGGAGGTGCGTCTGCGTGGCAATCTCCTGCGCTCGGTGGATCAGTATACATTTGACAACAATACGTTCTTGGAACTGATTGATCTATCCAGAAATGTGCTGCGCTTTATAGGCAATGCAGCGTTCAATCCATTGAAGCGGCTTAAGCACTTGAATTTGGCCTACAATGAGATTGCGCATCTGGAGCGCAATCTCATCAGTGACAATGATGTGCTCTTGGAGCTCAATCTAAGTCGTAATATTATACAGAAGCTAACGAAAATAGTGTCCAACTCGGTGCGTGTCATTGACCTCAGCTGGTGTGAAATCAGCATCGTTGAGAGCACGGCGCTAACTGGCTTATCGGCTATACAACGCTTGGACTTGTCCAATAATCTGATTAGCAATTTTCCCAGTTTGATGCGCTCGGAAACGCTGCAACATCTGAATCTAGCCAACTGCAGGTGAGTTTAACGGTGGTATAGCTATATGGTCTTATAAAGTAGATGCCTTTCTTTCGTTGCTCGCTTTTTGAAGCTAAGTTGACTCCACTTTGTATCTACTGTGAGTTGGTTCAGTACCTCCTTCAGTACTTCCTTGAGGCCCTACTTAGATATCTCCTTCAGTACTCATTCTGTACATCCTTTAGTACCTCGTTTTGTACCTGTTTCGGTACTTCGTTAAGTATGCGTTTCGGTACCTCGTTCTGCACCTTCTTCTTATTTCTTTCAGTACTTGCCTCGGTACCTCCTTCAGTATTTCCTTAAGGCCCTACTGCGATATCTCCTTCAGTACTCATTCTGTACATCCTTTAGTACCTCGTTCTGTACCTGTTTTGGTACTTCGTTTTGTACGTGTTTCGGTACCTCGTTCTGCATCTTCTTCTTACTCCTTTCAGTACTTGCCTCGGCACCTCCTTCAGTACTTCCTTGTGGCCCTATCTCCTTCAGTGCCTCATTCTGTACGTCCTTCAGTACCTCGTTCTGTACCTGTTTCGGTACTTCGTTTTGTACGTGTTTCGGTATCTCGTTCTGCACCTTCTTCTTACTTCTTTCAGTACTTGCCTCGGTACCTCCTTCAGTATTTCCTTAAGGCCCTACTGCGATATCTCCTTCAGTACTCTTTCTTTACATCCTTTAGTACCTCGTTCTGTACCTGTTTTGGTACTTCGTTTTGTGCGTGTTTCGTTACCCCGTTCTGCACCTTCTTCTTACTTCTTTCAGTACTTGCCTCGGTACCTCCTTCGGTACCTCCTTTAGTACCTCCTTCGGTACCTCCTTCGGTACCTCAGTCTACCTCAGAACCTTGAAGTGCAACCGTATTGATATTCGTCTTGAGTCACACTCTCTTATCATGAATTCTTTAAAGTGATCGATAACTTTTTCATTTTCAATCGTAATCGACTCATTTTCCGTTTTTGATCCTGCCAATGTGATATGTATTATTTTCCTCTGCTTAACTTGTTTTCCTTCATTTTATTCATCTTCATGTGTTGTCATTTTAGCGCGAGTTCAAACTTAACTCATTTCCCCCTCCTTCTCAGGCTATCAACGATTAGAAACAACAGTTTCAGTGGCTTTCCCGAGCTTGCAGATTTGCATTTGAATGGCAATCGTTTGATCAATCCCATTCCACCTGGCCATTTTCGTGGGAACAAATTCCTCGATCAAATCTGGCTGGGCGATAATCCCTGGATATGCGAATGCCAGAATCCCTTGTTCATCGAGTTCTATGACTATCTAACAATGAAGCCGGCCAAGGTAAGTCCAGCAACCACTCAGTTATAACTGTATAGCATATAAAGACTACTCTTCTCTAGCTCAAGGACCGTCATAATTTGCGCTGTGCCTCGCCGGCCAGCTACTATGGTCAGCTGTGGGATTATGCCTGCCTCTCCGACTGGACAGTGAGTGCGCGCAACAGCAGCGGCGAGAAGGTCTGGTCGACCATCATGCTCTGCATTCTAGGCCTGGGTTTGCTGGCTCTGATGTTTGGCTGCTTTCAGAAGATGATGCGTAAGCATAAGCAACGACAGAATCGCAGAGAATATAATTCTAACCAAGAAGAGCTGCAACGCATGTAAGTTTTTACTGTTGGTAACTATGATTCTGAACTCAGAACTATTAACTCAAAGAGCGTAAGCCGAAAGAAATAATAGCACCGGTGGTGGTAATTATTGATCAAAAGACCAAACATTTTGTGTTATTTCACATACTGCTTAGTAGATGGAAAAAAGTTACTGTTTGAACGGTTTTCCCTTTGTTTTAACATACAAATTTCCATTTAATAAATTTTTTTTAACAAATTCTAGCAAACTTAATTTGTTAAAGAAATTTCATTAATAATATATTGTATCATTCAGCGAGGAACAGATCAAGGAACAGATCAAGAGTGCAATTCAGTTAAGAGTTTCCCAGCATTGTTAAATTAATATATAAAAAGCTGGTGCTATTTTTTATTATTATTTATTATTTATTATTATATTTATTATAATATTTATTATAATATTTATTATTTATTATTTATTATTTATTATTTATTATTTATTATTTATTTATTATTATTATTTATTATTTATTATTTATTATTTATTATTTATTATTTATTATTTATTATTTATTATTTATTATTTATTATTTATTATTTATTATTTATTATTTATTATTTATTATTTATTATTTATTATTTATTATTTATTATTTATTATTTATTATTTATTATTTATTATTTATTATTTATTATTTATTATTTTTATTTATTTTTTTTTTTTTTTTTTTTTTATTTTTATTTTTATTTTTTTTTTTTTTTTTTTTTTATTATTTTTTTTTTTTTTTTTTTTTTTTATTTTTATTTTTATTATTATATTATTATTTATTATTTATTATTTATTATTTTTTTATTGTTCATATTTTCTTAAAAAAATATTGTTTACTTTTTAAACTAATTTAAAATATTCTACTGCCAAAACACATATTTTTCATATCTGCATAATCTCAAAATATAAAGCGAATACCGTAATCCTCAAATATGCTTTATCTCTTCTCCCAAACTCTATAGACGTGATATTAACGAACGGATGCTGCGCGAGGAATCTTCAGCCACATTGCAGCAGCAGCAGGAGATTAGCTTATTGCCCTCCTATGAGGATGCATTGCGTATGCCCAAGCTGGAGCGTCCAGCTAAGTCCATGCTGGATCTGTCCGCTGCGGAGCGCAATCGCAAGCAGCTGCGTCGTAGCCAGACTCAAGCAGACGGCGACAACTCGGCCGGCGAGGAGGAACTGCAGCTGGACACGCGTCAAAGATTCCGTAGCGTAGAAATGCTTTCCAATCGTGACAAAGAGAGAACGGCACAGTATCAGCCACATCGACGCACAGGTTATATGGAATACAATACGCAGTCGGGTAGTCGTCGCTTGAGCATCGAGGAGTCACGTTTTCCGGCTGCTCATCTGAAGCGACAAAACTTGCAGAGCGCCGAGCAAATTGGCAATTTCCAGAGCTACGAGAACAGTCCGTATACGAAGAGAAAGCCAAAGATAGCCGAGATACCGCCCTTTAAGCGTGTCAATATTATGGCCGACAGTGTAGAGTTCCTCACCGATCCCGAATACGACAGTATGGGCAGCAAGCCAGGCAGTCCCTTTGCCAAACGCAAGCCCAAGGTGCCAACTAACTTACAGGTGAGCGCACAGGTGTACACGATGGAGCATAATCTGCCGGCTGCTGTCCAGCTCGATCCAGCTGTCGAGGATTACTATAGCAGCGGCCATAAAAAGGCCGCGTCCACGTCAACCATAGCCAGTGATTTCCAGGAGATTGCTGTGCCAGATATCGCCTCGTTGCCTGATGACGACACTCGTTCAAATGTCTCCACATCCGCCGCCGAGATCGATCTGGAGCGCGGCATGCGCAGGAAGCGAAAGAACTCATCCACTCGTCGGGTTAGCGGAAATTTTAGCGCTGCTGCCGCCGCGGACAGCTCGAGCTCCGCCAGCGAAGGCGAACGCAGCGTTCCAGTTCACAAGCCCATGAGAGAGACACTATTCTAAGCACTCAAAAACAAACACAACGACAAAGCTTAAATTAATTCTTGTTACATTTTTCTATATTTAGATTTAAGGCCTATTTAAACTTCATGTAACGCACGCATCTATAGTAAAATATAATCGAACAATTTCATGGTTTAGATATATATACAGTGTAACCAATATTTTGGACATTAATAGTCATATATACATATATATTAATGGTATTCCAACAACTATTCAGAGCCACTTGCACTAAGCGCTCAATCGGCACTTTATTTTCGCCCGCACTGTAGCACTGAAACCGTGCAGCCAAGACAACAACCTAAACTCAGTTAGCAGCGACGCGGCGCGATAACAAAGGTTGTAAGCTTAACTAAACGCCTGGTCAAAAGCTTTAACATAAATTGAGCAGCTGCAGAGTAATTGGTAGTTGGGCGCAAAAGCTGTTTATAAAAAATTAAAAAAATATATTATTTTTGATATTTGTAGTTTTTTGTTTTTATTGATAGGCTTATTTTGAATTAAAAAGTCATTCACACGAACAGAGAGTAACACAATATAATTTCACAAGAGAATGGAGCTTAAATATTATATATATATATAAAGGCACACACACATATATATATATATTTGTATTTATGTAGTTTTGTGTAGTAAGTAGTGTGTGTGTGTGTGTGCACATCACATGCACATGCACATGCAGTTTGCCAGTAGAAAAAAATAGTGTTGTAAAGTGTCATCAGCCCAAAAAATTTTAAATTTTTATTTTTTTTATTTAGTTTTTTTTTGTTTCTTCTCGCGCAGCTGGAAATTTACATTTAAGATATTTTTTAACTTTGGTATTAAACTAGATTTATGCTTAAGTATAATTAATTTACTTAATGCTAAAACTACAAAATGGTTACAATATATTTAAGAGGGGGAAGCGGGAGCTTAAAACGAATAGTTGTTTTTGTTGTTGCTGTTTTCTCAAAATTTGTTTTGTTTTTTGCTCTTGTTATGCAAAGCACCGTTATCGCTATCGTTTATCGATCATCGATTACTCAAATCAATTACGTATAAATGTTTACATATTATGGATAATCGATTACCGAAAATCTTGTATAGATTCTCGATTGCTGGCTTAATCAATTAGCAATTATCGATAATTGTTTACAAGTCATAAATAATTGATTATCGATTATCGCTTACCGATTACCATTTACTGCTGTCCGACTATCTATAATCGATAATAATTATCGAAATTTACTTTCAAATTATGGATAATTATTTAATGATCATCATTTATCGATTATCGATTGCCACACTTTAAGCTTAGCTTAATGCTAATGTTGTTGTCGCACGTTCATCTTCTACTTCTTCTTCTTCTTCTTCTTGGCTGCTGTTGGTGTTATCGCTTGGCACTTGTCTGTCACGTTTCACGCCTGACACATGGCTGTCAGCTGATGGGAAAGAGAATGGAGGGTGGAGAGGGGTTTTTTGTCTGGGGCGTGCCTAACTCAGTGTGAGGCAATGCCATTGACCTGATGCGTCGGCTCCAAATAGCCGCCACCCTGAACGGGCGTTGTGATAATATCGCCAGCATTGGATTTGCTGCGCGTGACCAGCATCGGAGTCTTCGGCTTGGGCGTCTCCGTTAGCTTGATCTTGACACGTCCAGTCTCCGGTGAATAGACGGGCGAGTAGCGGCCCGATTTTGGCGAGGAAGGCAAATAGGAACCATCCGGCTCATTGTTGTTATTGTTGTTGTTCTGCTCATTGGAATCGCCCTGTGGTGGATGCTGCGCGTATTTGGAGGCACGCGGAGATTGTGGTGTGGGATAACGTGGTGTAATTGGATAGTATTCATGTGGTGCTGCATCTGCACCAACGGGCTCGTTGATGGTTGGCACCTCCTTGGCATCGCCATTGGCTGTGCCATTGCCATTGAGCAGCGGCTGTTGTCCAGCTCCATCTTTGCTATCGTACGGCTTTTTGCCTGATCCATTCACAATCTGTGCATCATCCAGCTTGGTCTTCTCACCAATCAACGGCGAATGCTCGTGACCGTTGCGTGCCAGGGGCTTGCCCAAATTCTTCTTATCCATGTCCAGCAGCTCGGTCTGACGCTGTGCCTCGGCATCGCGTGCCGCCGCATTGCTGTTGTACTTGCAGCGCTTGATGGCCACGAAGAGTATGAGTCCCAGCACAATGAGAGCAATAACGCCCAGCAGGAAGTAAATGGCATTGTTGTCATCCTTCTTACCGATCTTGGCAGAGAGTATGTCGTCCGAGGTCTTATCCGTGTCAATGGGACCGTCTGTGACCACATCGCCTGGTGCTCCTGTATCGAGCTTAGTCTGCACCACAGGCACAATTGTCTCCTCGCTAACCTCGTCCGGTTGTCCCTTGTTAGCATCCTCGAAGATGCCAATGTTCTGGAAAATATCAGGCGACGGCTGAGCCGGCTGCTCCACTGGCTTATTGTCGTAATTGTCGTCGTTGTCTTCATGCTCCGATTCGGAGGAGGCTGGCGGCTCAAAGTCATCTGTATGGACGTGTGTCGAGACAATGTGTGGTATAATCAACATACCGCCGCCGCTGCCGGAACCATCCTCATCTTCTTCGTTTTCTGATTCGTCGTGCTGTGGCAGACCCACCAATTCCTGTGTCTTCGGCTCTTCGGCCACAACGGGCACCTGCTCCGAAGCCTGTTGAGCGGCAACCAGTTCCATATTCATTTCAGTCAAATCGCCAGAACCCTCAACATCGCTCTCCACAACCGGTGGCGGCTCTGGTGTCTTCACCGCTTTCTTACCATCGATGACCAGATAGTCTTTGCCCAGTTCCTGTTCCTCTTCGTCCTTTTCATTGGAATCGGGCAGTGGCTGATCGCCCATCATCAGTTCGTTCTCATCGACATCCGTGGCATACCAGCCGCGTTGCTCCTTTTCGCAAATGTCCGATTGCTTCAGTTGCAGCCAGGATTTGCCATGCGCCTCCGCTGGCAAGCTACAGATGACCGGCTTCTCCATATACACATGACGCTCCTGCAGCCAATTGCGCACCTCCAGGGTGCGGCATGAGCAATTGATATTATTGTGTCCCAATTCCAGCTGCTGCAGATGTTGCAAGTGTGTCAACTCGATGGGCAGCGTTGTGATGTCATTATGCTGCAAGTTGAGCACCTGCAGCTGCTGCGGCAGCTTCAACAGCTTGGCCGATGTCAAGCGATTGTGCTTGAGGTTCAGCTTCTTGATGCGACGACTCAGATGGCCCAGGTCATGCAGCTCGTTGTGCGACAAATCCGCCGAGGTCAAATTGGTCAGCCCATCCAGCACATGACCCATACGCGTCAAACCCAAATAGGACAGATCAATGGAATGTATGGGTGTTGTAGCAGGCAGCGGCTTGTCCGTCAACTTCAAGCCATTCGTACTATTGCACTTGGCGTGCAGCAGAGGCTTGTGTGTGTGCTGCGACAGGGAACAGCTGCAGTCCTCGGGACAGTATGCGCCAGGTTTATCTGCAGCACACAGGCATAGCAACAGGGCCAGTAAAGCGAACAAGTTCAAGCGCTCCATGGCTGATCTCTAATGCTTGATTCGCTCTTGACTGCAAAGGAATTGAAAGCAAAATAAAAACAAAATTAATTCAGCTGCTTGGCTTCTAGTTTGCAGAGTTCCGAGTACCGTGAAGCTACAATGGCAACTAGCTGTATCTAGTCGATTCCATGAGCTTTGATCGCAACGCCAATGGCGTTGTCAATAGGAAGTTGCGTGTTACGTCATATTTTGTTAACTCTAAATAAGTAACTGCCTCTCTCTCTCTCTGTGTGTTGTCTCTCTTTGATACTTTTTCTATATCTATCAGCAGTCGCTATCGTGCTTAGATTTCTTTATCGCTTATAACTTGTTTAAGCTTGGCCAGGCATTGACAACCTTATCTACCCACAGGGTAATTAATATTTCTTTATTTCTCTCTCATTTTTTTTGCCATTTTTTATTGATAAGTTCTTAGGTTCGACAAGATAATTTTGGGTGTGCAACTATTTACGTCGATTGTGACATCAGCAACAACTCAGGCACCTGACACACGCGCTACACTGCGGTAAAACTGAATGAGTCAGTGCAAAGCACTTGGAAATATTATTAGGAAATTGAAAAATTGAAATGCAACCTACTTCAAGTTTATAGGGCAACCAGGGAGTGATACGTACAACTGGGAAATTAATCTAAAGCGAAAAGTCAAGAGCTTAACTTAGGCAGGCTTCACTTCTGAAAGAGTTTTAAACGTCGTCAATGTAAATCCATAAAATGTGTGTGTGAGAAATTTACTTAGTCATCATTTAAGGCATATCTAGCAATCCATAACAGAAATTCCAAGGGAAATTTACCAAAACTTCGCTCTTCAGAGCGTTTCTAAGGCAGGAGTTCACCTCCATCTGAAGCAATTTATCTCGAAAATAAATTCTTAGAGGCAATTGAAAGATTTGTATTAAATGAACACATTAAAATTTGTCAATACAAAAAGGGATATTCACTTGGAATTGATGTACAAAAGAGAAAGGAGATTTATGAAAATATTTTACATAGAATTTTCTTATGAAAAATTTATTAATTTGCAAATTAAATAACATTAAAAGAGAAATCGTAAAAAAAATGTCTAACAAAAAACTCAACAAGGAAATTCAATAAATTTATTAAATTTATAATGCGCTTACATAAAAGTTTATAAAGTCAAACAGGAAATTCAATAAGCTCTCAGCAATCAATATGTAATTCACTGGAGATTCATTGAATATTTAGTTATTAGTATGTATCAAAGAAATTCTGTGTTACTAATAATATTTGATTCATCATAATGAATACTCATTCATTAACAAAAATGATGTATAAAGTCTGATAATGGTACCTTTTGTTAAAGAACTCATAAAATATTAATCAAACAGAAATTTTAACCGAGGCGCAAAAATGTGTTAAGTGTTGCATCAACAATCTAAAGTAGCAGCAAATAATGCCTACTTGTATATATAACACTTAATCAACAAGCAATTTGTAAGAGAAGAGAAGGCAGTTACATAGTCTCCCTCTCTCTCTCTCACTCTCTCTCTCTCTCACGCAATCGCTCTCTTAATAATATAAAAGCTCGCACTTATCTATAAGCCAAATCAAAGTCAACTAACTACGCGCAAGTCGCTGACTTATCAATGAATTTTGTTGCCTACAATTTATGTATATAGCTAAGCATTCATTTTCATTTGTTGTAACTATTGTTATTAATTTTTAGCACTTGAATTTGATAAATCTTAAGCATTTATCACATGACTTTCACTGCAGCACACGCAGACACACAGAGAGACATACAAAAAAAACTCTTAATTAAGTAAATCACCTGTCAGCAGAGCTTAAATGCTCAGATATATATATATATATATCTATGTGTGTATATATATAGATAAAGATCAAGCCCGTTTAGTGTGGGTTAAGGGGTTGAGGTCGAGGCAGCTGCTGCTACGTTTTGTCAGACTAACAAGCGGCGTGCTTTTAATCTCAAGCCGTTGTAAATGTATGTAAGTGAGAATATATATATATACCTATATATATATATATAGGAGTATATATACATCTGTGCTTGTGAGCATTTATTAGTTGAGCAACGCAAAGTGATTGACGTCCGCCTCGTGGCTGCAATTTAAGCACAATTCGCGCTCTGCCATAGCCACAGTCTCAGGCCAGCTTTGGCTGATAAGCCAGCAGCGTCTTTGACCGCAAAAAGCGTCGCCTAGAACAATGGAATAATAATACATACATATACCTAAATGAACATAGATATGAGGCATACTGATTGCCAGGCCTCACAATAATCGACAAGACAAATGCAGCTGCATTTGCATTGCACTTTGAAATTTACAGCGAGATGCACTTTGAATAATTCAAAAGTTCTCTTCAATTTCATATCCAAATATGCAGCTGAATGACAATAGTCAGTCTTTTTTTTTAGCATTTCAATTGAAGTGTGGCGCATTTACATTTAGTTGCAGCCAAGCTAAATAAGATATTTTTGTAATCATTTTTAATATTTAACTATTGCTAGCTATGTGTCTGCAGCGTCATGCTGATATAACTTTAATTACATTTGCCATTCCCATTGTGAATTGTTTAAGTTTGAATACCCTTGCAGACTGTGTTTAATCTTAGATTTAGATTGTAGCTCTTAGATAAGCACTGATGCTCACGCAACGACTCAGTGCTCTGTACTAAAATATGTATCTAAGAACTGGAATTTGAAACCATCATAAAGCTAAGACAGCATATTTTAAAATAAATGTAGCCCTAACAAGCTGTATTATCATAAACCTATCATCGTAATCCCAACCAAATGCTGTTGCTTTGTGTTACTATTAAATCTCAAGCGATACAACAACTGAAAGCCATAGCAGATATATAGATCAACCAAATACTAAAAATATTTGCGATTATTTCTATTTTACTTGATGCTCGATTTTAGATACATTTTGACTGCTGGAAACTGTTTCCGATGCGAGTTCTAAAAAAACATAAATAGTTAATTCCACGAAAAATATCAAATCTTTTATTTATACTAAATATAATATATGTCACAGCTGTTATAATCTCATGTATAATGAAACATTTGATCGAGCACTTTAATAGAGCTTGCTGCTGTTATATGCCTTCCCTTTCGTGGCATAAGCAACATAACATATTTTGTGTAAGGGCAACAACAAAGCTTTGCCACCACCCAAAATATTTTTCTCTTTGTTATGGGCAACTGTTTGCGCAGCGGCGCGCCAATATGCGACCAATTTATATATATATATATATATATATATATATATTTGGCAAAAAAAAAATAAATGCGGACGCATGTGCTGCAGCTGCTGTTGCTGTTGCTGCTAAGGGCCACAATTGGTGGCAAGCATGCATAATTAAGGCGCAGAGTGGCTGCTGCTGTTGCAGATAATGATGCGGGGCAGCGCGACCAAGCAGAAAATACCAACTGGAAATGAGGCGGCACACACACACACACAAACACGAGGCAGAGACATGCAAATTTAGTTGGAGATTCAAAATGTATCTGAAAAGAGTGTCAGGCTCAAGGTCAGGCTGCATTTTGAACTGTAAATTGCGGTTTTAACAAATTGCCACAGCGAATCACAAATATCGTCATCAAATGACTGGGTTGAAATGAGGCGGGCAGCATGTAAATTGAGCTTGAGATACAAATGTGTCTGAGAGTGTGTTCAACTCAATGTCAGACTTTTTGAAGTTTGTCATTCGATTTGCGGTCTTAACAAATAGGCATAACAAATTACAAATATCATCCCCAACATGACCAACTGCAAAGTGAGTTTTAGATACAAATGTATCTGCAGCTACTGCTGCAGTTTGACATAGGAACTATAATGTTAGCTCTTCTTCAAATTGAGTTTAAGATACAAATGTATCTTAGACTGTTTTTACCTTAAGGTCATACACAGCTGCAAGCAGCAGTCGCTGTTGCCTTTGCTTCTGCTGATGCTGCATCTGCTTCTTCTACTGCTGCTGCCTTTGCTTGAACATGACCAAAAACCAGTCACGGGAGCCACAACAAATCACAATTACAGTCTTCCAAAGGCAGCATGCAAATTGAGCTTTAGCTACACATGTATCTGAGAGAGTGTCAGGCTCAAGGTCAGACTCGACTATAATGCTGCTGCGGCTGGCTCTGCTTGCTGCTGCTGCTTACATTTTGACATGTGAAATGTGGTCTTAACAAATTGTGTCATTGCGTTTGGTTAAACATGGCCAAATACAAGTGACAACCAGCAGCAACAACAACGGCAGCCAACAACATTTGCTGCCAGCAAAACCGCAACAAATCACAAATGTCTTCTTCAAATGGCCTGGTGTTGACAAATTGCCTTGGCCAAAAGACTTTCACTTCGGCTGGAAATGCTAAACTGCAGACACAGTTGGCGGTTGCATTTATCAAAAAAATATAAAAAAAAAAAAACAAAATCTGTCAATTTTTGCCGGCAAATTTTAACGCCATTTTTGGGTTGCCAACTGCGCTCAACCAGTCGAGCAACAAGTTGGCGTTAAATTGCAATTAAATGCGCTTAATTGCATTTAAAAAAGAAAAATATGTTTCTTATCATAATTTGATTGTGATTTTACTTAAATTGACCAAGTAGAGAAAACAGTCAGACATATGCACATACATATACATTCACAAACAGGAAGCTAAAAATTAGCTAAAGTTTAGAATTTGAATGCGGGCTGAAAACGCGCGAGAGTCAAGTGCCATTTAATGCCATTTCGACTTAGAACAAATATTACTTTTTTTTTCGCAAATTGAAGGAAATCAACAACAACATTAGCCTTTAACTTAAATGATGACAAATGCGGCTAACCTTGACTCGATGCTTCCAAAAAAAAAAATGAAAAAATGAAATGAAATGAGAAAGAAGCAAAGCACATTAACAAGAAAGACAACTAATCATGTTTGTTATACAAAGAAATGAGCCTTTGAATACCCTGTAAATGCTGTGTGCCTGATATGGAAGACTAATATATATAATAGGCACCTGTATACGACTACTATACCAGCAT